TCCTGTCAGTGTGATGTGAGGTGTCCTGTGAGTGTGAGTGTGACATCCTGTCAGTGTGATGTGAGGTGTCCTGTGTGAGATGTGAAGTCCTGTCAGTGTGATGTGAGGTGTCCTGTGAGTGCGAGTGTGACGTCCTGTCAGTGTGAAGTGAGGTGTCCTGTGAGTGTGATATCCTATGAATGTGAATCTGAGGTATCATGGGAGAGTGATGTCTGGTGTCCTGTGAGTGTGATCCTTGGTGTCCTGTGTGATGTGAGGTGTCTATGGGTGTGAAGTGTCCTGTGTGGAGTGGGGTGTCCTGTGAGTGTGAACTGTCCTTTGAGTATAAGTTGTCCTGTGGGTAGGAAACATGGTGTGAGTCAGGGGTGGTTGTAGAAAGCTCAAGACTATAGGGTGGCGCCTGTGGTTCAAAGGAGAAGGGCACTGGCCCATATGCCGGTGGTGGCGGGTTCATATCCAGCCCCGGCCAAAAACTGCAAAAAAAAAAAAAGAAGACAAAAGCTCAGGACTATAATGAACAATGACCCTGGGCCCTGGGTCCAAGCAGACGGTGTACACTTACTCTAGGAGCTCTGACCTGGCTCTGTTGATTCCAGAGATGGGTCCATAACAAGGCGCTAGAACCTCCCGACCCCAAAGCCCTATCTCCTCTCTGGCCACTGGCCTGTCTAGGCCACTCTTCTGGTGGCCTAGAAACATTGAAATGGAAATGTAAGGGAAAGGAACATGGTGAAGATCCCAAATATAGAACTTTCAGACATGAAACCAGAAGTGAAGACAGTCCTATCCACAGGCCACGTTGGAATGGGGAGGCCATAACCTCTGTACCATGCGGCTATACCACTAGAGGCCTTCCTGGGAAGTCAAGGACACACAGCCCTGTGCCCTGTGTCCCATCCCATCAGATGACATTTTCTGATGTAAAAACGACATGTGTGGTGTGGCAGAGGGCAGGAGAGTGTGCTATGCTATGCAGAGTGTCCTGGAACAGGGTGAGGGAGGGAGCAGCACAGAAAAGAGTGACATCCTGTGAGTGAAGCAGAGCCCTGGTGGGACCCCAAATGCCACCTAGTCCCTCTCTGCAGGGTGCCCCTCAATGTGGACTCACCGTCCGCTCTGTGCTCCTGAAGATCTCCCGGGCCTCCTCGAAGGAACACTGTTCCTCCCTGCACTCCCGCTCCAGGGAGCCTGGCCGCAGCTCCTCTAGGAAGGAGTTGGCACGCCTCTGCCGGCGTAAGACCCCGTGGGCCTCCTCCTGGGTTATGAAGACTGAGAAACAACCCCCGAAACACTCATAGCCCACCAGGCTAGATGGTGGGGCGGTACTACGCCGGTTGGACTTAGAGGGTCCTTGCCTGCCCCAGGGCCCCTTCCTGGCCACAGAGAGCAGTGTCACTGATAGGCCTAGCTGGATTCAAGTAGGCTATGCCCTCTGTGGGTGGCTGGGGACTGGCAGGGCCTTTGGGACCTGGTCGCTTCACTTCAGGAATGTATCCTCAGGAAATATCTGAGGCACTCCCCAAAACTCAGGCCTGAGGAACTACTGGTAATACTAGTTGGAAACTACCATGCTGCCATCATTGTGGGGTTTAAGACACCGTGAGGAAGAGCGAAAGTGAAGATGGGGCAACAGGATAGGTGTGCAGGCCCCTTCTGGGCACGCGGACTGTATGTAAGTATTGACTTGGTGTGTCACAGCCCTTGTGCGAAACTTAAATTCCTCATCTGGGACCCTGCCATGTCCCTGGTGGCCAGCTCTGCTTCTCCCTAGGTCCTGGTGGCCAGCACAGCACCTGCCTTCCTTCCACAGCCATACAGCACCCAGGCAGCCTAGCAGCTCTCAGTGGTCCTGGGCACCTGCTCCATTAGCTCAAGACCCGGTACCCCAAGTGGGGCCCTCCGTAGCATCCTCCCGGTCTCTCACGGTACCCCTGACCTTCACTTGCAGGTGCTAGGGCCCTGTGTTTTGCCTATGAGGAACATGAGGTTGGTGGAGCTTCAAATTCACCTGAGGGCACTCAGGATGTCACTAATCTCATTCTTTATGATGCCAGATAGCTGTGGAGGTAGAGACAAGGGTGTTTAAGTTGTTGGAAGTTATGTAGAGGCTGAAATCCAGAGTGGGAAGCTGAGCCCTCCCAGGTAAGAGGAGTGTGGAGAAGGTGGGAGGAGGGGCCATCATGGAGGAAAGCCGCACCCCTGGGAGGCTGCAGAGGGGCATTTGAGAGAAAGAGGACCCGTGCTTTTGCTGGGGCACATGGCCTCTTATGAGGCTGGAACAGGGCCCAGGCAGTAGGAAGGGTAGTGTGCTGGGCCATCGGGGCTGAGAGGGCCCCCATCTTTCTTTAAATCAGATTTTCACTTGCTGACATTCCTAGGGAATCAATGCCTTATAGAAGGAAAGGGTGAGGACACAGGCAGGAAAACAAAAGAATCGTGGTTTCTGGGAGGTGGGAGGAGTTGAGCCGGGAATCCTGCAGGGACTCACCCAGGGCAGGCAGAGGAAGAAGTGGAGAGACCCTGAATCTAGGACCTGCACACACCCCCACAACACACCCTTGGATCAAATCAACTCTTTATCAGAAAAGTGCTCAGAGAGTCAGGGGTAGGTCTGACAATGAAGCAAAGTATGTTATTGTAGAGACTTTGGAAAGGACAGAACAGAACAGAGAAGATAAACCCACCTGCAGAAAGGATGACTATGGCACTTTCTCCTGAGCGAGAAAGGCCCTGTCATGGGCACACTGGGTAGCCCGCAGTGGGCAGCTCACACTGGTCCCATGGACCTGGGCTACCGACAGCAGTGGCAGCCCTCACCACCCTGGGTGCTCTGTGCGGCCTCCTAGCAGACAAAGCATGACCCCATGTCCGCTCGCCCAAAGCCTCAGCAACCCCGGTGTAGGGCGGGGATGATGGTCACAGAGCCATCCATGGTGGTCCAAGCCTGCAGCCCTGTGCCCTGTGCCCCATCCCCAACATGTTGGTACAGAGCCCAGGAGCCGCACAGTGAGCCACCGCCTGTGCTCTGAGTGCCTGATTCTCAGTGTCGTCTGATTTTACAGGGCAGATGCTTGCAGGGGGCCAGGAAAGCATTCCTAAAACTTCTTGGGAAAATAATGCCACCAAACCTGGGCTGTCACGAACAACCTGTGCTGTAACGCATGGCAAGTGCACACCCGGACACTGGTTTCCAGAAGGAAGTCACCTCAAACTGGGGCCACAGCACATGCTCCTGGCCAAGCTCTGAGAGGCTGCCAGGTGGCGGGATGTGCGGCAAACAGCCTGGATGCCCTTCTCTGCAAGTGCACAGGGAGCCTCCCCCGACGTACCTGCAGCCAGAGAGCCCTGAAGCCCAAGCAGAAGGCAAAGGAGCCTGCAGGCCTGGGAAGCCATGGTGAGGCCTCAGCAGTGAGGTCTGTTGACATTCCCGGCAGGGACTGGAGGGCAAAGGGCAAGGGGTGGGGAGGGGAGGAAGGATGGCCTATACACAGGGCTGAGGGCTGAGCCCTGATGCCCTCCCCCAGCTCTAGGAAGGAGCGGAACAGAGTGCAGTGGTCCCAGCCCCTCCTGTAAGCTTGTCCCACATGCTGAAGAATGGATACTGGGGTGTGCCTGGCACTGACACTTCAAGGCAATCTAGATTCCAAAGCCCTCAGCTATGGACTATGAGTTGGGGAGACAGACTTAGACTCCAGGTGAGAACTGTGGCTTTCAGGGAAGACAGACTGGCTCCTGCTGGGGGGTCACAGAGCCTCCCTGGGATGAAGAACAGTGGCCCCAGCAGAGCCCTCACCCCATTCTGATTACAGACATGCCACGTCCCATGCTCCCCCAGGTCGGGGCATGGTGAGGTTAATTGACCTCTTGGCAAGGGGTTTCTCAGGATGTGAGACTTACGTGCTAAAATCAGAACTTGGGGCTCATCAGGCACCCCAGTCTCTGGGCTGGGCCCTCTGGGGGAAATATCCAGTTCCTTCGGGGTCCAGGTCTTGCCACAGGAGCAGGGAGGGACTTCCTGTCAGTCCAATCTCTGCTCAGGTCTTCTGAGCAGTCTGTTCAGATCCTTCTTTGGATCTGTTGACAATGCTTGTTCCACAGGATCTCTTAACTCAAAATATGTTTAAAAGTTCATCCAGCAAAAACCAAAAACAAAACCTTTAAGTGGCTGCTCAGTCTGGGATAGAGCTCACAGCCCATGTCCACCCCCAGTGGGAACCCTCCAGCAGAGCCACAGGCGAGAGGGGCATGTGCTGACACCCAGGTGGACGGCTTGGCTGGTTTGGGGTGCCCTTCCTCCATAGTGCTCTGAGTCAGAGGTCCTCAACCCCTTCTGGCAGCAGAAAACCCAAAGAGGTTCAGAAAACATGTGCCACGCCCCCAAGGGATGCAGGGTGCCCTGGCCTGGTGCACTCTAACCTGTGAGTGGCTCCCCTCTCATGGGCAGGTGGAAGCAGGCGGGAATTGGCTATCTAGCCATCCCACCAGCTGAGGCCAATGGCCCAGTGTTGGGTCTTCGAGGACAAAGGTGTGAAAGTTCCACCTGGGGCCCACCTGCTTGGCCTTGTCTACATCTGTCCCGTGGGTCCCCAGCACCATGCCTGGGGCTAGACCTGGCCACACGCAGGGGCAGGCTTGGGGGCCACTGCTCTTCCCTCTTGAACCCCCTTGCCTTCCTTGGGGAGATTCCCCTCATGCAGGCCCCTGGCACCTTCTGCCTTGAGTCAGGGGGAAGGGGACAGTCACAGTTCTATTCCCCACCAGCCTCTGCGACATCTGCAGAGGCTCTGCTGGTCTGTCCATCTACTCCAGCCTCTAGGGAAGAGGGTCATCTGCCATGCTGAGACACTCACAGGTTGCTCTCCAATGTGAAGGACATGGACCTTTGGTGGTCAGCTTTTGGGGGATGCTCATCTGGGGACTGCAGAGAGCCACCCACACTATGTTAAGGTGCATCCTGGCGCCTGCAGATGCCACCACCCTGGTACAGGCAGTCTGCCCAGGGAGGGGGGATGGGGGAATCCTGTGAAGACGAGTGAGCAAGATAGCTTGGTGGCCTCACACTTCCCATGCTTAGGTACCTCCACTCCATAGGAACAGTCCGTAGGCACCCAGGGAGACTGATGTACAGTGGGGGCTGGGAGCTGGTACTGTATCATGGAGCAGAGAGGGCATCTGGGGATGAACATTCTGATGCTGAGCACAGCTACTGTCTTCTCTGGGCCTTTGTCCTACCTTTTGCCTTTCTCATGGGGCTTTGGGTGGACAGAAATTCATCATGTGACATGATCAGATGCATCCATATTTTTGTTTTTCCTGTTTTTTAAAGTGTAACTTTGTCTTCTGTTAGAAATCTATCCTTGCCCTAAGACAGTCAAGATCAGGGGTCCTCAAACTTTTTAAACAGGGGGCCAGTTCACTGTCCCTCAGACTGTTGGAGGGTCAGACTGTGGGCCCCGGGACAAGTCAGCTGCTAAGCAGGACAGGCAGCAGTGGCAAAAACACCCTGCAGGCCGGATAAATGTCCTAGGCAGGCTGCATGTGGCCTGCGGGCCATAGTTTGAGGACGTCTGGTCAAGATACTGCTTTCTTCTATTAATCCTGATTTTTTTAAGTTTAGCAAAGGATTGAATTTTATGTTTCACTAGAGAACCAGTGGTCTCAACCATGTGGACATTTGCTGAAAAGGCCATTCCACATCCTGCTGACCTTTCTGTCCTCAGGAAATACCCAGTTACTGTGAACACAGGACACTCAGCAGGACTCCCAGAGCTTCTGGCACCAGGGGCCTCTCCCTCCTTCTCAGTCCCACCCCCAAACCATCTTGAGTGTATTCAGACCTTCCTCCACATATTTCACAATCAATTTCCACATTCCACAAAGAACTCTGCTGGGATTTTGATAAAATTACAATAAATCTACAGACTAAGGGAAGAATTGACATTTTGGTGATATTGAATTGTCCCATCCACAGAAATCTGCCCATTCATTTAGGCCTTCTTTTATGACCTCTTATGAAATTTCATCATTTTGAAACAGGAGAAGAAGGTGATGTTCAAGGATAGTGATGTTCAGTTAGAACCTGAACCCGAGAAGAACAGGGAACAAAAAGCGTATGAGTTTTTCTGGCTCTTCCTCAGAGGAGGAAGTATGTGATATGAATATGAATAAGCAAGAAAACACCTCAATAATCATTATGGCAGCTCAGATCAAACAGTTAGAAGACTGGCTGAATAGTCTCACAGTTAAAAATGCTGACATAGATCACCCAACACTGCCCTCAGCGCCTCCCTATGTAGGTAACCCTCCTGAAACTTCGGTTATGAAGGCTTTATTTAGAGGGACACAAGACCAGTGACTTTACTTTTGAAGATACTGTAGGGCTTTTCCTGGTCATAGTTACTAATATCCCTCCTAGTCCAGAGTACTCTCAAGGGGGCCAATGCTTTGATCACTGTATGATTACTTTTGCTGTAACACAGTATGGCATGCAGTCCCCATTTTCCAGAGGTATATTACAGGGACTTGCATAACAACAGTGACTAATTCCTTATGATTGGGATATGATAGCCAAAACTATTCCCTAATTTGAGCAGCATTTGCAATTTAAAACTTGGTGGAAGGAGGAGGCTGACCTGATGAGTTGCCAGAACCAGCAGAGAGGAATTCCTATAACATCGGAACAGCTCACTGGGTCTAGTCAGTGGCTAGAGGTTCCAAGACAAATCCAGTACAAGGATACAGCTATAGTACAAACAAAGCTGTGCTGTCTTTGAGCCTGGGAAAAAGTTCAGGCTCCTGGAGATATCTCAAAATCTTTCATTAAGATAATGCAATCAGGAAATGAACCTTATACTGACTTTTTAGCTCGATTGAAAAATTTAGTTGATAAAGCCATTGCTCTGCCAGGACTTAGAGACATGGTTTTTCAAACCTTAGCATTTGAAAATGCTAACTCTGAGTGTCAAAAGGCTTAATGTCCTCTGAGAGCACAAAATGCTCCCTTAGAGGAATACATATGGGCATGTGTTGATGTAGGAATTGAACTCTATAAAGCTAATCTTCTTGCAGCTGCTTTAAAAGAAGGGTTCAAAATGAAATCTTGTTAAATGCCATAATTGTGGAAAACTAGGCCATATGAGAAGAGAGAAAAAGAAATAGCAATCATAATACCAATAGTAAAAAAGTTTTCTCATCCAATAATCAAAAGATACAAGGATCTTTTTACCAGGCTGTGAACCCCCTGGTATATGCCCCAGGTGTAAAAAAGGGGTTGATACGAATGGAACACTTCACAGCAGGGAGACTGTCAGTCGGGCCCAGCCTGGGGCCCACAGGCAAAGAATATGGGTCTGGAGACCTACCCACTCTCCAGCAACTTAAGCGCATCCAGTGCCTTTTACACGCCACCCCAGGTAGTGCTGCTTTAGATCTACCAGCATGTGATAATGTTCTTTTGTTTTCCAACATGGGAGTAAAGAAATTAAAAACAGGAATATGGTCCTATTCCCCCAGACACTGTTGGGTTATTGTTAGGAAAAAGTAGCTTAAATCTTATGGAGTGTTTTTTCACATGGGTGTTATTGATAGTGACTTCTTAGAAGAAATACAGATCATGATTTTGGTAAACCAACCAATTCAAATTTTAGCCAGACAAAAGATCATTCAATTGCTGCTCCTGCCTCACGTTAAATTACAAAGTACTGGTAAAAAACATACTGGTCGTCTCAGCAGTACAAACAATAGTTTTTGGCAAACATCTATTGATAAGAATAGGCCTCAATTAACACTCACTTTGAAGGACAAATCCTTTACAGGCTGTTAGACACTGATGTAGATGTCTCAGTCATGGCTTTAAATCTGTGGCCCAAGGAGTGGCTGAAACAGATAGTTGATGTTACTTTTACAGGCATAGGAACTTTAAATTCAGTCTTTCAAAGTACATTATCTTTACCTTGTTTAGGACCTGATAATCAAAACGCTTAAATTCAACCATACAGGCTCGGCACCTGTGGCTCAATCAGCTAAGGCGCCAGCCACATACACCTAAGGTGGCGGGTTCGAATCCCCAGCCTGGGCCCGCCAAACAACAATGATGGCTGCAACCAAAAAATGGCCGGCGCTGTGGCGGGCGCCTGTGGTCCCAGCTACTTGGGAGGCTGAGGCAGGAGACTTGCTTGAGCCCAGGAGTTGGAGGTTGCTGTGAGCTGTGAGGCCATAGCACTCTACCCAGGGGGATAGCTTGAGGCTCTGTCTCAAAAAAAAAAAAAAAAAAATTCAACCATACATAGCTGATATTGCTATTAACTTGTGGGGTCGAGATTTACTTCAACAATGGAAAACTGTAATAATCATACCTTCCTCTCATACTAATTCCTTTCAAATGTCAAATTTAGCATAGAGGCCACTTCCCCAAAGTATGCTCTCAAGTT